GCATCAGGCCGTGTTTAAACTCCCAAGTTGAGGGGGGAACTTTCCTGATGAGCGTTTACAGGACAAAATCCAGTTGATTCAGATTTAGCTAACATTTATTGAGTCCCTACAGCTTGCCCTCTGGCACCTTGCTGGTTTTAACTGACAAAGCGTCCTTTGGTCCTATGTTGTCTGAGGTAGGTTCCAGTGAGGAAGCGAGAGGTCATGGCGGCTGCAGTACTTGAGTCACTCTGAGTCGGGGCAGAGCTCGCAGGTGAAACCAGCTGGCCTATTTCCCAGGTCAAGGTCCTTCCCTGGCATGAACTGCGGAAAAGGAAGAAGATAACATTGGCTTGTAACAGTGGGTACTGTTATCCCTCTCCACTTAGATATCATACCCCTTCCTTCCAGATTCCTGAATTTGGAGAGGCTAAGTGGGTGCAAATTTGAATGCACGTCAGCCTTCCTTTTTTTTTTTTTTTTTAATTTCATTTATTTTGGGGAGAGTGCAAGTGGGGGAGAGGCAGAGAGAGGGAGACAGAAGATCCAAAGTGGGCTCTGCGCTGACAGGCTGACAGGCTGACAGCAGCGAGCCTTCTGTGGGGCTCAAACTCAGGAACCGTGAGATCATGACGGGAGCCAAAGTCAGACACTCAACCGACTGAATCGCTCAGGTCGTGGCCCCCCCCCCCCCCCCACCTATTTAAGTTTGTTTATTTTGAGACAGATGGAGAGAGCCGGCAGGGGAGGAGCAAAGAGAAAGCAAGCAGGGGAGGGGCAAAGAGAGGGAGAAAGAGAATCCCAAGCAGGTTCTGCACTGTCAGGGCAGAGCCTGATTCAGGGCTCAAACTCAGTAACTGTAAGGTCATGACCTGAGCTGAAACCAAGAGTGGGACACTTAACCAACTGAGCCACGCAGACACCCCATGAATGCATGTCGGACTTCCTAAAGTGCATGCTTGTTCCTCGGAACTTCTGCCTCTTAGAAGGTGCTTCTAGCCCCACAGATTGGGTCATTTTTTAACATCTGTACAAGAACAACCCCGAGCTTGTAAATATTGCAAACCTTTCTTTCTTGAAAAGAAAAAGGCAGAAATGTTTGGCCCTCTTCTTTGTAGGCGTTGGCTTTTGAGTGGTTTTTGGCCTTCTTATAAAGTGCTAAAGTTTAGGCCCAGTCCCAGTGGTAAGAATGAAAAATTAATGTCATTCATTTTTCTTCCTCTTTGACCAGCAGATCCCTTTTGCCTGTAAATAAACTCACCACCTACATGCTAGCCACAGTTTGCCAACAGTCTTCTGTGAGGAGAGAGGTTTTCTCCTGACATTTCTACCCGATTTGCATCTGTCTGGCTTCTGTAAGCGGCAGTGGTATGTGGGAGGGAAGCTTGGGTTTTAGTGCCAGACATTCAGTCCAGTTGACTGGCTTTTCTGACCTTGGGTAAGTCACCATTTCTGAGCCTCAGTTTCTCCATCTACAAGATGCTTTTTTTCTTCATATAAGCATTTCTGCTTTATCTTTAGAAAAAATTTCAGTGTTAAAAACCATAGCTTGAGGAAAATCATTTAACAAAGCCCTCTGATTTTTCTGTATAAAATTTATATACAAATTGGGCAGGATCCTTCCTTCAAGAAGCTTACTGTATCCCAGGAGAGAGTCCCTGTACCTAAATCTCCATGACAGAGAGCAAAAAATGACATATGCCTAGAGACAAAGCGGAAAATGCTGGTTTTTTTGTTTTCGTGTTTTTAAGGCTCAGTGCTAATTCCTATAGATACAATAATGAATAAAGCAGTCTTTGCTCTTAAGAAGCTAAGTCTCCTTGTGGGGAGAGATCTGCTATATTTACTTTATAGCTTATATTAATGTCTGCCATTTTTTTTTAATGTTTATTTGAGAGAGAGAGACAGACAGTGTGAGTGGGGAGGGGCAGAAAGAGAGGGAGACACAGAACCGAAGCAGGCTCCAGGCTCTGAGCTGTCAGCACAGAGCCTGACATGGGGCTTGAACCCATGGACCAGACTGTCCACAAGATCATGACCTGAGCTGAAGTCAGATGCTTATCCAACTGAGCCATCCAGGAGCCCCTGCCATTTTATTTGTAATTATTTATTGCCTGTCTTCCATCACTAGAATATGAGCCTACAGGCGCAGGAGTCCAAGTGTCTCATTCATGGCCATATTTCCTATACAGCACTTTAAAATTGGTTGCATTAATGAATGGATGGATGAATTAAAAAAAATTTTTAAATGTTTATATTTGAGAGAGAAAGAGAGACAGAGCTTTAGTGGGGGAGGGGCAGAGAGACAGAGACAGACTCTGAAGCAGTCTCCAGGCTCTGAGCTGTCGGTATAGAGCCCATCGTGGGGCTCAAACTCACAAACAGTGAGATCGTGACCTGAGCCGAACGAAGTTGGACACTTAACCAACAGAGCCACCCAGGCACCCCATATGGATGAATTATTAAATAATGAAGTAAGGAGACCATTATGATACTGTAATGTAGGTGCTACCAGAAAAGCATGCATGAGGCAGGGTGGGCACACAGAGGAGGAATCCCAGCCCCTTCCCCCCCCTTTTTTTTTTGGTGCTGGAGGGGGGAGTGGCAAGGTGGAGTGTCATAGTTTTTCAGAGGAGGTGACACCCAAACTGATTCCCAGAAGCAAAATAGAAGTTTGGGAGATAAAATTGGGACCAAAAAGTATCCCAGGCAATGGGAGGTAAAAGGGAATTTGCTCCCCAATGAGCACAGTACAGTAGACTGGGGAAGGGGTTCTCAAACCAGGGGGGTTTTGCACCTGTGGGGATTATTTGTCATGACTGGGGTGGGGGGCGGGGGTGGAGGGCAGAGCGGGGAGTGCAGTTAAATGTCCTGCAGTGCACAGGACAGCCCCCTGCCACAAAGAGCTGAGGTCAAGAAACCCTGAGCTGGGGAAAAACTGCCTGGAGGGGTTTGGGGGAGGGCTGAGGTAGGAACAAAGATGAATAGGAGGAAAGAAAGGAGTGGCAGCGGGTAGGTAGTTACTTGAGAATTCAGTGTTGTTCAGCCGGCTCCATCCGTGGAAACTTCTAAGTGCGTTATGTCAGGTCATCCTTAAATAATCCTGAACCAAGAATTCATTTAACTCTGAGTTGAAGAGCACACAGCATCGAAGAAGTCTTTGCTGATCACCGTGATACTGGGGCACGCTGAAGCTAATAGATTATGCTGTCTGTAATTTCTCTATTTCCTTTCAATAATAGCAGAGCATACAGGATGTCACTGAGGCTGCCCAGCCTTTTCTTTCTCTTATTGAATTTAAGCCATCACCTTTCTACATCTGACTGATGGGATAAAAATGCATCCGACCCTGGAACGTGCTTTCAAAAAGAAATGGAGTTTCTTTTTGTTGTTGTTTTTTCTCTTGACCACATGACTCATCTTGCTAATTGATTGTCCCCCAGCAGTGGTGGTTTTGTTTATGCTGTGCTGGGAAAAAACCAGGTCCCTGATGCTGCGGCATTGATTTTCCCCCAACTGGGCACTCCAGGGCTGGCGGGAACAGCCCTTACGTCTGCCTCCGTTTCCAAAGATGGAGCGTTCAAGTTCTCCGGTGAGCCTGGCTTGGGCTTGCCCGGGACCTGCCAGGAGCTGAAGGTTGTTTTATTTTTCCCACAGGAAATAATTTTCCTGGGCATGGCAGCCCCGCGTTGCCAATCCCTTGCTTTCATGAAAGCTCACACATGTGTGACAGTGGCACTATTGTTGGGTGTGCTGGAGTTCCCATTACAGATCCTGTGTTTATCTCCTGCAGGGATTTTTCTGAGAGGCATAATCTAAACAGTGAGGGATATGAAGGCACCCCTGGTTTGGGGGGAGCGGGGAAGAGAGAGAGAAAGAGAATATTCTCTGTGATATGAGGCAACTGAGAAATGGGATGAGCTGTCGAATGGGCACACGCTATGGTAGAGCCCTCAGTCAGTTTTGGTAATCTGTGCCGCTTGGTCCTTTTTATTTAAAGTCTCGGAGATCTGGAGAGGCTGAAGTGTTTCTTGGGATGGGTTTAAGGGAGTTTTTTTTTTTTTTTTTTTAAAGTTTATTATTTGTTTTGAGAGGCAGAGACAGCATGAGTGGGGGAGGGGCAAAGAGAGAGAGAAGGTGGGGAGAGAGAATCCCAAGCAGGCTCTGCGCTGGCAACACAGAGCCCAACATGGGGCTCAACTCAGGAAACCACGTGACTGTGACCTGAGCCAGAAACAAGAGTCAGAGCTTAACCAACTGAGTCACCCAGGCGCCCTGGGTTTAAGGGAGTTCTGAACCTGATGAGAAGCTCCTGTTGCCAGGAACAGCTCTGTCCATAAAAATGAATGTCAATTCCACAGAAACTTCCCTGGGCTAGGATTGATAAGATAAGTGGGGGGAAATGGATGGCTTAATAAGTGTTTAGAGTTAGCTAGAAGTTGACATACAAATTTATTTATTTATTTATTTGTTTTTAATTTTCTTAATGTTTATTTTTGCATGACAGAGAGCGAGCATGAGCTGGGAGGGGTAGAGAGAGAGGGAGGCACGGAATCTGAAGCAGACTCCAGGCTCTGAGCTGTCAGCACAGAGCCTGAGGTGGGGCTGGAACTCACAGACCGTGAGATCATGACCTGAGCCGAAGTCGGATGCTGGACGCTTAACTGACTGAGCCACCCAGGTGCCCCAACGTACAAATTTAGATGATAGCTGAAACCATCTAGTAAACACGTACAGTTGACCCTTAAACAACACGGGGCTAGGGGCACCCTCCCGCGCTGTTAAAATTCCATTTATTACTTCTGACTCCCCACAAACTTCACTACCAATAGGCTACTATTGACTGGAAGCCTTACCAGTAACATAGTCGATTGGCACATATTTTGCACGTTATATGTATTCTATCCTGTGTTCTTACAGTAAAGTCAGCTAGAGAGAAGAAAACGTTATTAAGGAAATCGGGAAGGAAAAGAAACTGTCTTTTCAGAACCGTACAAATCCGTGTCTAAGTGGACCCGCGCAGTTCAGACCTGTGTTGTTCGAGAGCCAGTTTATGTGCCGGGCACCAGGTTAAGTGCTAGATGCACATGATCGTGTTTAATCCTCCCGGCAGCCTGGAAAGGTGGAGGAGCAATTCGTAAGGCCCATGTTACCAAAAGGTCCAACCTTGGAAGAGCTTGAGAGTGGAGAGAAAAATTAACGGTGTTGGGAGAGCTCTGGTCTTTCTAAGCCGGACAGTATCACTGCAGCTGCTTAGGAATGCTCATTCGTGCGGTTTGCCCACCTGCCTGACTTTTTTTGCGGAGGCGTGCCCCGAGTGTTCCTCCCAATGTGTGTATTGTCATCCCTTGTTTTTCTGCCTCTCTGGGGAGCCTCGTTTTGTCCTCTTTCTTTGAGAGAAGCTGCACTGTCAAAGGAAGGGGTGACAGGATAAGAGGAAAGAGGAAGGAAATGAGACCACAGGTGAAAGGAGGAGTCAGGAGTCAAGGGGGTGTGTGTGTGTGGGGGGGCATCGACTCTGTTACTGGTAACAACACCCGTGTTGTTCATGTTCCAGGTGTGTGTGTGCACTGCTGTCTGCCTAGTGGATGCACACTTGATGTTGTCACATCTCATCATGCATTCTGGGGGGCGTACAAAGCAGAGGGTAGTGCACACGGGTCGCTGTCCCCATTGTAACCCTGCCAGAGCCCTCGGACAGAAACACCGAGGTGAGTCGTGGCAGCTGCCACTGGAAGCATCTCGGGTGCGATTTAGATACTGCTTTGGCCTCTTGGAAGCCCAGGGCTCTCCATTCCTTATGGGCCTAGAGATCAGTCTTGACAAAGGGGACACTAAAGAGGGCGTCCTTGCCTAAGACGGCATGTAGTGTCCGAGTTGCTGTCTTTGAGGCCAGGACAGGAGGATTGGGTCCCTCTGTGTGGACTTTGCCTGGACTTTCCTAAGAGAGGTACTTTCTCTCCTAATAAGATTATCCTCTAGAAGAGTGTCTGTGATCCCTGGACACCCAGGAAACTCCCCTTTTCCATCCTGAAGTGTGACTGGATACAGCTGGACTGGTCAGCTCATTCCAGGGACTTAGCCTGCCCCATACAGCAGTATACGGACTGTAAAACTGGGAACAGTTTTGCCCTATAAGGACATATGGCAGTGTCTAGGGACTTTTTTTTTTTTAATTAATAAACTTAATTTTTTAATTACAATTTTTTTATGATTCATTCTTTTTTTAAAAGCCCATTTTGGGGGCGCCTGGGTTTGTTAAGTGTCTGACTTCGACTCAGGTCATGACCTCATGGTTCATGGGTTCCAGCCCCGCATCAGGCTCTGTGCTGACAGCTCAGAGTGTGGAGCCCGCTTTGTACTCTGTGTCTCCCTCTCTGCCCCTCCCCTGCTCACTCTCTTTCTGTCAAAAATGAATAAACGTTAAAAAAAGGAACAAAACCCATTTTGCCCATCCTTCCACCCATCCCCCCTTCTGGAAACCATCAATTGTTCTGTGTACTTGTAGGTTTATTAACACACTTTATTTTTTAGAGCAGTTCAGCTTACAGAAAAATTGAACAGAAAGTACAAAGAATCCCCATATACCCCCTTTCTTCCTACCCGCCCCCCCCCACCGTTTCCCCTATTATTAACAGTTTACATTAATGTGGTACATTTGTTACAAAGATGAGCCAATATTCATACATTATTTTTAACTAAAGTCCATCGTTTACATTAGGGTTCATTCTCTCCGTTGTATATTCTGTGGGTTTTGACAAATGCATAATGACACGTGTCCCCCATTACAGTATCACACAGAATAGTTTCTCTGCCCTAAAACTCTCCTGTGCCTTCTGGAGACATTTTTTGCTGGTCACAACTGGGTGTGTGTTACTGGTATCTAATGCATAAAGGGCAGGGGTGCTGCCAATATGCTCTAACACACAAGGCAGCACCCCAACAAAATGCCAGTAGTGCCCAGATGGGAAAGCCCCGCTGTACAGACCCTTGTACAGGCGTGGTTGTGTGGGAACGGGCTTGAGAGGCTCCAGCGCTGAAAAGGAACATGGTGTTTGGATGGTGGCTGTCCTGTCCCTGCTGTGGCAGAGCAGAGGCAGCCGATGGGAGGGTGGGGGTGGGGGGTGGGGGTTTGGAAAGGCCTGAGGAGAAAATAAACTGTAACTTGCAGGCAACCTTCCAGCCATAATCCCTACACAGATTCCTGTAGCTCTCACCCTCTTAAATTCAAACCCTGAGGTCTGAGTCCAATTAAAATGCCAGAAATTATAATGATTGGGTTGTGCATGGTGGGGTTAGCTTAGGTTACTCTCAGATGGGATGTAGTCTCTGATCTATCCAGAAGTAAAAGCCCAGGTCTTGGGTTCTGATCCCCCATGTGCAAGCAACACAGTTCTTTTTCTCAAGTGCTTCGGTTTCCTTTTCTGAAAAGGAAGACAGTGCTCCTCCATGTCTCGGCTTAGAATGGCTTTATGAGTTGGTCTCTGCAGCGTATACTGTTCGCTTGTGTGCTGCCAACATTGTGTTATGGGCAGCAGGACGTAAGTTGTGAAGACCTACTCAGTGAAAAATGTTCAAGCATTAGCATTTTTTTTACTGTGTATTTTTGAGAGAGACAGAGAGAGAGAGAGCTAGCGAGCGAGCACGGGCGAGTGAGAGCGTGAGCAGGGGAGGGGCAGAGAGAGAGAGGGAGGGAGACACAGACTCCGAAGGAGGCTCCAGGCTCTGAGCTGTCCGCACGGAGCCCGACTCGGGGCTTCAACTCGCGGCAACTCACCGCGAGATTGTGACCTGAGGTGAAGTCGGCCGCTTAACCGACTGAGCCACCCAGGTGCCCCAGCATTTTTATACTGAAACAGGCTCACGTGGATGTTGAGGTTTGCAGGTGAGGGTGAGAAGCTACAAGAAGACTGCATTTAAAGACAAGAGATTTGTCTTTAAAGGGAAAAATCCAAGCTGTCAAAGTCAGCAGTTCTTGCAAATGGGGGGGGGGGTGCACCCATGAAGTGGGCTGTACAGTTTGTATCAGTCTGCAGACCTCTCATTGCTCTGTAAATCTTGTCAAGTGAGAGCAAGGACTTTATTCCCCTGATAGGCATGGGAGGAGAACCGAAAAACCCAACTCCCTCCCCTGCAGAATGTAAATATGGATAAAGAGAAATATTCCTTTTCATAAATTACCTCCTCTACCTTCATCTTCCTGAAGTTATAAACCCCCAAAATGTAACCAGAAAAATAATGTTGTGAAAAAAAATCTTACTTTGTGGGTGCATCTTGGGGCTGGACAGGGAAAAGCTTTGCAGAACAAAAAGGTTCCAACTGAGGCATGTAAAACAAGTTTTATTAAAACGTTAATTATCTCCCACCTGCTGGTACTTTGTGAAGTTCGGAGGAAAAGGGCTAATTGAGAACAGCATTTGATGTTCATGAGCGTTGCCGGGTTCTTTTCCTCTTCTTAAAAGGGATTTGTTCTTAATCAAGTTTATTTCATAATCAGTAGGTCCAGACACTGCATACACATTTGCATTTTTGATACTGTTTAATTAAGATCCTTTACATATGAGGTGTCGACTTTTGTTGTTTTGAATTTGATGTCTTGGTAAGTTTGGACCTTAGGTTTGGGGCATTTTGCTGTAGACTAATGAATGGTAGGGATTACGAACTGGCTGTGCTCCTGCATGCTCTTTGTGAGTGAGGGGTACATTTTGTGTGGCAAGTCCAGGGGGAGCAAAGACAAAGCATTCCGGCGCTTTGTTCCTCCCTCTGAAGTACAAGGAGTATCCGTGGGCTCTGAAGTATTCATGGCCTTAAACTTGAAATCCCAGGCACCGCTCTCATTTTGCATCCTGCACAACCCCCCAGGATGAATCTGTCTGCATTTCTCATTTATCTCTGCCTTCCCACCATCTTCTTTTCGACACACCGAATTGCAAAATCACTCCGTGTATCAGGGCTCAGAGCTTTTCAGTGTTTTGCAACAACAGGAACTTCACCCCTTAGTAAGCATTTTATACGTTCGGGGACTGGGTGTAGTGGTCTGCCTTTCTCACCAACTCCTCCAAGCAGGCATGGGTCGCATTGCTGGTGGGTGGCGGGGCTGAGATCTGAACCTGTTTACTGACGGGCATAAGCCCTTAACCACAAGGGTGCTTTCTCCTTGTGCTCTAAGAATTAGAAAAACTCCTAGCTTTCTGGATCTTGTTTTTTGAGTCTGGCATTTTGAGTGGACCAGTCAGTGTTTGTGTAAGTTCCAAGGTATCTAGAAGAGTCCTCTGACATCCCAGCTGTAGTTTGAAGACCTTAACATACCCTGGTTTTTTAAAGCCTTAAAAGTCTTGCCAAACCTTCCCCTGTTCTGAGATGTGGAGTAGTCCCCCTCCTTTTTTTTTTTTTTTTTTTCCCCATTAAAAGCTCCTTAAGGGACGCCTGGGTGGCTCAGTCGGTTAAGTGTCCAACGTCGGCTCAGGTCATGATCTCACGGTTTGTGGGTTCGATTCTTGTGTTGGGCTCTGTGCTGACAGCTCAGATTCTGGGAGCCTGCTTCAGATTCTGGGTCTCCCTCTCTCTCTGCCCCTCCCCCACTCATGCTCTGTTTCTCCCTGTCTCAAAAATAAATAAACATTAAAAAAACAAAATAGGGGCGCCTGGGTGACTCAGTCAGTTGAGCGTCTGACTTCAGCTCAGGTCATGATCTCACAGCCGGTGAGTTCGAGCCCTGCATCGGGCTCTGTGCTGACAGCTCAGAGCCTGGAGCCTGCTTCGGATTCTGTGTCTCCCTCTCTCTCTCTGCCCCTCCCCTGCTCACACACTGTCTCTCTCTCTCTCAAAAAAATAAACATTAAAAAAAAAATTTTTTTTTAAAAACAACATAAAAAGCTCCTTAAGCCCAGTCTAATGTCCTTTTCTGCGCTTTCCATGGTACCTGCACTACATCCCTTAGGTGTGGTGTGATTCCAAGTTGCAGGGAAAGGAACACTTACTTTTCTGAACATGGATTGTCTTTTCTAGTTGTGTCAGCAACCTGTGTGATGGTTACTGACGTCTCTGTTCTGTAAGCGAGGGAACTGAGGCTTGGACAGGCTCAGCCGACTTGCTCTGGACCTCAGGGCTACTGGTTTGGATGAAACAGAACAAGGATTCGAACCCAGGCCTGTGTGCTGCCAAAGCCCTGCCTGCTTCCTTTCCATTGAATGGGAATTGGGTTTAATGGAATTTTGCTGTGTCTTAGGAGGTAGAGAAGTCTTGTAGAAACACATGGAAAACCTTTCTTGTTTTTCCCCCCTGAAGCCAAAGGGGCCATCTCAGTAAAGGGGGTTTACTTACATCAAGTGAATGGAAAAACTGGGTCATGTTGCTGCCAGGAGCCTGCGTTTCTGTTTAATTGGCTAGCACACTCTTTCTTTGTCTTTGTTTACCTTGTGGCTAGTTCTGACAATATGGATTCTTTTCTTGGCCTCTTTGCTTGGGAGAAGCAAGCTGTAGGATTTTAACGGAAGGGGGAAAACTGGAAAAACTCCACTATGTGGTGCAAAAAAAGTATGCTCGTTGACTTTGGTGACAAAAGCCTATGAGTGACAGCTTCCTGCATCACACCCTCTGAATCACAGGCAGCCTGTTACTGCACAGCTTTGCACACACCCTCTTCTCCCCTCCCCCGCTGACCCTCCATCCCTGTGGTCTCTTCCCCGGGAGAGCACTGGTCATCTCCTCCCTGGGAGAGCACTGGCCAGTCCACCACCAAGTGTTTATTGAGCTCCTGCTAGATAAAAGTTTGTTGTACCCGGGTTGTCAGGCAAACATGTTAGAATAAATAATAGAATGAGATCAAGGCATTCTTCCTTTTGATTTAGATCAGGATCAAAGTGCCCAGAGGAGTAAGAGCTGTTCTTTCTATACCTTCTTTATGTCATGTCATGTCAGGATCACTGGAAAGGATTTTGATCCACTTTCTAGAACTGAAACTTTCAGGAGTCGGCAATGTCCCTTCAGACACTTAAAAATCATTGTGTGATTGGGACTTGATTTCCTCTCCCTTCTTCCCTTTCTCCTGCTGATGTCCTACCAACCAGCCCCCCAATCTCTGGCTCTTCTCTCACTACAGTGACTTTTGGTAGCTTAGCAACACTGGTTGTCATACGTAGCAAAGCCTTCCGTGCACTGCTGGCCCTCCCAAGGAAAAATCAAGTGAAAGTATCCAGCATAATATATCTGCTTGAACCGAATATTCCTTTGGCTTGGTAAGGGCAAAGCCCTTTTAGTCCGGCCCGGATGTGAAGGGACCTTCTGCTTGCTTTATTTATTGATTTTTTAAAGCCAAAGCAATGTT